ATAATAATTTTTTTTTAATTTTAATAAAAGTATAAATAATTAAATTAAATATTTAATAATAACATATCAATACTAGTTAGTTCGAACCTTTAGAAAAGTGAACCTAGCTGGCTGATTTAAGTTTCACAATAAAAATCTTTAATAATGAGCATATTATATATTTCATAAAGAGTTCAAGATCTGAGTAAAAATATTATATTAAAATTAAATAATTTAATATACTATTAACCAAAAAAAATATTTATTTGAATCAAATATTTTTTATTATTATTAGAATTAAAATATTAATATTAATTTAAAAATAAAATTAACTTAGATAATAAATTATTCATAAATATAAAATTATATCAATATCCTATTAAATAAAAATTTAATATCGAAATAAAAAACTTTTTGTATTAGCAAAAAAACTATAACTTTTTTATAAATATTTATTTAATAAAAAATTAAATAGAAAAAATAAATATTTAATAAAAATAAAATTAAATATTATTTTATTAAAAAATATATATTTAATATAATATAAATAAATACTATTAAAAAAGAATAGTTATTTTTGGGTATCTTAAAAGAGTCTGCTGTCGCAATATGAGACGTATGATTTAATGATTATGAATTTGTTTGACTGGTCTCATATTTTTCGGGATATATGATTTCGAGGTGGCAAAACATTGGATATTACTCTGTCCTGCATGTAGTACGCTACATACTTTAAAGAGTCTAATTCTATAGGCGGTACAGAGGCATTTTGTAAATCAATACTGCCGCTCCATCTTTCTAAGGCAGATGTGCCTATCGCGCCAAGGGTTTTAATTTTTCCTCTGAAGAACCCGTTGGTGCGGATTGTTAAAATTATTAGATCTTCTAGATACAATCGATGACTTGTTCTGTAGTTCCACTTCTACTGCTTTTCTTGAATCGCGATTTTGAGGATTTAGAATATACAAATATATTTTCATCTCAAATGTGAAATATTTTAATTTAAAATTTTAAAATTTTAAAATAAATATATATAAATATTATAAATAAAAATATTGTTTTTTAAAAATTATTTTTTTGTATTGAAGTATGTATTATATCTTATATTTTTATTTTTTTATTTAATATACCATACAGTGTGTATCCGACTGAACCCATAAATTATATGGAGTTTTTTAGCTACAATGCCTTATTGAGTTGTAGGATGGAAAAATATATGGATTAAATAAAAATTTAATTATTCAAATATTAATATTGATTTAAAATTTTATATTTTATTTTATTTTAATTTAATTTAATTTTTATGTTTTTATTTTTCAATTTTTTTTTTACAATTTTTATAAGTATTAATTTAAAACCATAATTTAATGATAATAGTTTTAGAAATTCAAACTCAAAATTATAAAATAAAACTATCCTTTTATAAATGCAGAATAGATTTTTTAATAAGCAAACTAAAGAGTAGTTTATTACTATTGTAATAATTCACAAACTTTTTAGGTATATACAAAAAATTATCCCTTTAACAAGTAAAATTATCTAGAAGTCAGAAAGAATTAAAGATAACCTTAATAATGAGTAAAATTTAAATGTATAAGATATGAAGATTTCTTCTTTCTTCAAAAACAAATAATTTAGTTTCATTAGAATTTATATAAAAATTATAAAAATTTTAATTATTTAATATATATTATAATTATTATTTCTTAAACTTTGAATTTAAATAGTAAATAATTTTTTTGTAAAAAAAATTTATACTCTTCAGCTGCATATATAAAAATAGATATGTAAATATAAATATATAAACAAAAAAAATATTAATTAAATTGTATTTATAAAATTTTTTAAATAGATAACATTAAAAGTGGTTATAAAAAATGCAAAATAAATATTTATAATTAAAAATTAAAGTATATATAATAAATTTATTAAATTTTTAAATATAAAAAAATATAAAATATATATTATATATATATATATATATCTATATATTTTTATTATTATTTTTTTTTTCTTTATTATTTTTTTATTAAAATAAAACTGATTATTATTTTTTATTTTAATTGTAAAATATAGTTAGTTATATTATTTTTAAATTAAAAATATGAAATTTATTTACTATAATAATTAATAGTTAATTTTAAAATCATATTTTTAATGGCTATTTTTTTTTTACTAATCTTTAAATAGTATTTTTAAATTAAGTTTAAAATAATTATTTATCAAAATAAAATGCTTCTTAATTTATTAAATATTAATATAAAATATATAAATCTAATATATACTCTTTTTTTAATTATCAATATTATAAAAAAATAAATAATACATATTGAAATATATCAAGCAATAAAAATATTTCTAAAAAACTAAAAAATACAAAAATATATTAGTTAAATTAATTAATTTTTAATTATTTGTAATAAACATAATTTAATTGTTTTTATCATAATCAAAATTCAATAAATATTTACTCCTATTCTTAGTTAATATTATTTTTTTGTATAAAATATTAACTTTATATATACTTATCTGTTTCATCTTTTATAATATAATCATATTTATCAGGTAAAGAAATATTATTAAGTATTTAAAGCATATTTGAAAAATCATATATATTATATTATTAGTTTTTAGTGATTACTTTTGTTTATTTAAAAAATAGTTTTGAACATTTTTTATCTTGTAGTATAAAATCTAATTCTTAATCATTTTATATTTATTTATACTATTATTTAATTTTATAATAAAAAGCAAAATTTTATGGTTATTAAATATCATCAAAGTTATTCAAAATATAATCATAAAGTTTATTTAAATTTAAATTTCTATGAATAATTTTATAAACTCCTTATTTAAAATATATCTTTAACATTTTATTTGAAGCAATTTTATTTTTTAAGACAATAAAATTAATTTTTTTAACAAATTTATGTAATTTAAATATAATTAAAAATAAATGAATATATATAAAATATATAAATGTATATAATTTTAAAGAAAATATTATTTAATGATAAAACTGAATTAAGAATAATTCTAAAATTTAATTATTATAATTTTAAATATTTTTATTATTCTTTTTTTACTTATTTTTATATTCTTATATATTTTTTTAATTTACTATTATTCAAAATTAATATATATAAAAGAGACAAAAATTTTTATTAAAATAATTAAGTAAAAAATTAATATTTTATATATAAACAATTTTTTATTTTTAACTTTTACGAGAAAAAAGAAAAATTAAAAATTAAAATTATATTAAATTTAAATATATATATGTTCAATCTATTTATATTAGTATATATGATTTTTCAATTAAAAAATAATCATTTCTTCTTTCTTGCCTAACAATTTAATTATTTTTATTTATTAAAGTTATCTTTATTTAATTATTAGCAATCATCACAAGTAAATTAAATAGCTTCTAATTATTCTCTATCACAATCTGTAAACCCAACACAATTAGGGTGATACCATTTAATAGGACAATGCTCATTATTACAATTAATCATTAACTCACCTTAATATAATTTTTTACATTTACAAAATCTTTCAGTAATGTTTTCACTTAAAACAACTGGTTCATTTATATCTATCTTTGGTTATTAAATGTTAATATTATCAATTACTTCAATTAGTTATTCTTCATGCTTTTAGATATTAATCTTTTCTGCTTCTTAATAATTTTTTTTAATAGGAGTTTATTTTTAATTTTAGGGTTAACAATTTAAAATCTACTAATTATTAAGGACTTTGTATTTTTAATCAACTTATTTTATCTGCTATTATTGATTACTTTTTTATATTTGAGATTCACTATTTAAATTAAAAAAATATTTAAATAATATAATATAATTATATATTTTAGAAAAAAAATAAAAAAATATAAATTTTTTTATATAAAATTTGAATAAATATATTAAATTTAGTAAAAAAAAAAATTAATTAAATATAAATATTTGTTTTGTTTTATTGAATTAATAATATGAAAAAAATATTGTATTTAAAATGGTTTTTATTTTTCGAAATTTTTTCTTTGTTTATATATTATTTTTAGAAGCGTTTTTTTTAATTTTTTTTGTGATATATTTAAAATAATCAATAAAATAAATGACAAAATCAATTTTTTCTGACATTTTTTTTTTGTAGATTGTGTTTTTTTGTAAAAAAAAAACAAAAAAATATAATAAAATATAATGGTTAAAAGTAATATTATTTATTTTTTATTTTATACTTATCATTTAATATCCTTCTATTTTGCTCATAAGAATAGTAGAACGCTTATTCTGTTGAAGATAGCTCGTTAACATTTATAGAATTAATAAATATATAATCATTCTTTTAGATGTTTTAAGTATTTGTATTTTAATTATTAATAAAATTTTCAATTATCTTAATTTTAAAATATATAATATATATTTTAAAATTTTTTTACATTTTTTTATGTTATTTCTTCTACTTTCCTAAGTTGTAAATTTTCCTTGTATATTTTTGTTCATTATATATATTTTTAAGGTTATAAAATATGATGAAATTTTTATTTATTTACGGTTTTTAATGCTTTTTTTAGCTCATCATATACTTATTTAAATTAGTACTAAGGGATTTTAAAACCTAATTGTGCAAATGTTTTAGATTAATTTTCTTCTATTTCCATTTATAAAAATAATTTTATTATATTTTATAAATATTATAATTATTTTTTTTAAAAATAAAAATATTATATGTAAATGAAAATAAATTAAAATAAAAATATATTGATAATTTATAACAATTTAAATATGTAAAAAATGTCAATAAAAACACTGATATATATATATAATAATATATATATATATATATATATTTATAGATTTATATATATATTTATTTTTCTACATATTAATTTAATATTTTTAATTATAATCATTATATTTTAATTTGTGAAAATAAAAATAAAATAATATAAAAAATATATATATGATAAATTATATATATTTTTTTATCTTAGAATATAAATGTAAAATATAAATTCTTTTTCATTCAAATATTTTTTCTAGTAAGCTCATTTTTTCTTTTTTAGGCGGAACTTTACTATTAGCTAATGAATTATTCATCATCTATCCTGAGAGGACAGTACTTCCGGTGGGTCTATAAGCAGATGCTCTAATTGTACCAACAGGTAAATTATTACTAAGTTGATTAGATACTCCTCCAAATGCAGGGACATTTCTTACAACAGAAGTGCTTATATGAGGTTATTATACAACACTTTATGTAACAACAGGCTACTATACAATATTAGAAACTATAGGTTATTATTATACATAATTTTATACTACGGGTTATTATACAACATAAGATTATTAGACAACAGGTTATTAAACTATAACCTAAGATTAAGTTAGGACAGGTTAGGTGACATATTGTACTTATTATTAGACTACTTCTTGAACAGGTTAATGAACTATTTATTTTTCTATTGCTTAGTATTCAACTCTTTCTTAGACTCTTTCTTAAGGAATATATTCAATATAGCGATCTTAGTATACTTAAGGAATGTATTCAGTTTAATATTCGACAGCATAGTAATCAGTAACTCTTTTTTCTTTTGGGACGTATTCTGTTCTTTGGACTGCTTCGTATTCAACCATTACCTTTTCATACGGAACGTATTCGATTCTTGATTCTCCTTTTATTACTTCGCGTTGTAATGAAGATTAATATACTACTGGTTGTTACAATACTGCTTAAGATACTACTGGCTATTACACTACTTAAGATACTATAGGTTACTATATTAATTATTATGTTACTACTGGTTAAGGCATCACACGAACACCAGAAGCTACTAAAGGTTGAGCAACTACTTATGATTAAACAAGTGGAGGTTGCAATAATGCATTTGGAGGAAGAAATTGACCTGGTTAATTTAAATATTGGTGAGCAGGGGCTGTTGTAAAAGATCCAGTTGGTTGAGACATTGGATGATTCATTTAATCATTAAAATTTGGTTAAGGAACATTATTATTATTGTTATTATTATTATTATTGTTATTATTATTTTAGGGTTATTAATTGTTTTAGTTAATGGAATGCATTTTTTTTTTATTATTATTTATTTAATTTTAAATAAAATTATATGTTTTATATAATTTTTTTTAGAAAGTTATATTTTCTCTTCTTTTTTTTTAATTATGATTGGTAATAATAAAAAATTTTCGTCGTTAAATATAAATAAATTAAAAAGTCTACTAAAATATATTATTATTTTATATATTTTCATTTTAAATTTAAATTAATTTAAAATAAATATTTATTAAACTAACATTTGTTAACAAGTTGTATTAGAAAAATATTTGTAAATACTAAAAAATTTGTAAAAAATAAATATATTATAATTTTTACAGAAAGATTTTTATGAATATTTTTTATTTTATTTTCAGTTGTATTTTCAAATTAATTTATATATTAAAAATTATTATCATTTGCATTTTACAAATTCATTTATTTAAAATAACATTTTGAATAAATGTATAAATTTAAATTAATATGATAATATAATATATATTTATTTACTTAATTATTGTTTTTATTTTAAAAAAATAATTTATATATTTAAATGCTTATATGCATTTTATATAGTTTACTCAAACTTTAATATTAGATTAAATACTACATTTTTAAAATTATTTTATATTGGATTTTTAATTATAATAAATCAAAATATAAAAGAGGCTAAAATCATTAATGTAAAATATCTTCTTTTTTTTTATGTATATATATGATAACACAATTCTTTATTGTTATTATCAATAAATATAAATAAATTAAAATTAAAGAAAAAAATATGTATATCTTTATAGATAGATTTATTTAAAATATATTTTTATAATTAAATAAATTTTATTATTTTATCTTAAATTATTATTTTTAAGTAAAAATATGTATTAATTTTATTTTAATTATAAAATATGTACAATAAAATATTATATTATTTTAATTCTAATATATTTATATAATCATCAATTAACTTATAAAATATATTTGAAAAACATATTATGAAAAAGCATTGTATTTTTAATCATTTTTATAAATAAAATAATAATATTAAATATATTTATAATAAGTATAAATAAAAAATTCTTTATAACCAAATAAAATATTATGAAAATTTCAAAGACAAAAGTATTTAGAAAATTGACAATGTATCTTATCATATGTATTGATTTTTATAAAAAAAAAGGAACAATAAAATAAAAAAAATTATTAATAAATATCAAATAACTATATTATAAAATATTTTTAATTTGTATTTGTGTTTGCTTTAAAAATTGTATTGAATTATTATGAAAATTTATCGAAACTGTAAAAAAAAAGTTATTAAATTTCTAATCATTTATTATAAAGTTGAAATTCAATTGCTATATTCTTTTATGTCAATCATATATTTATCAATCACAGGCTTATAATTTTAATATAATTAAAAACACATTTGAGACCGATTTTATTTAATAAAATCGAATAATATATATCATTAAGAATTTTTTTTTATATAATTGATAGCTTTTACAATAAATAGAAGAGAAAATAATGTTTTTTTAATAATTATACCAATCTAATAATTTAGAATCATCATAAAATTAATATAAATGTAAAAATAAATAAAAATTAATATAAGAAAGAAACAAAAAAAGTAATTAAATGAATAAAAAAATATTATTTATCATTCTAATTTGCTGATTGATTTTGTTCATTTATAGCAGTCCTTTTTTTTGTGTTGTAAAAATAAGTTTAATGTATAAATAACCTTAATAAGAATAGCTTTTTGAAAGGCTGAAGTTAATTGCTAATAATTACCAAATACAGGCTGTAGAATTAATACTCTATATACACGTATAACATAAAAACCGTGTTGAAATAATTGCATAAAAAAGGATTACACTTATTATATTTGCAATATTTCTTTTACTTGGTTGTGAATGAATTTAACAATGTAACGTTTAATTAAAATTAAAATAACAAGAATTATTTAATATTATGGGATGATGCTAAAATATACATATATCCTTATAATTAGAATGCTGGATCTTAATTATTTGAATTAAAATTTAGAATTGGAGTAAGCAAAACTTGAATAAATTAAAGTAGGATAGTAATCTCAATGGAAAGAATCAGAAATATATTATTTAATTGTTTATCATTGATATTTTTTAATTGGCTACAGTAGTTTTAAGAAAATGTTTAAGAGTAAAAAATTTGAAGTTTGTTTTTACAAATTTAAAAATATCGAACTCAAGTTTTTAAATGGAATTAATGCTAAAGTTATATTTGGTTTATTACCTGAAAAATCTTAAAAAAATGTGATTACTTATAAGAAAGCTCTTTTGATGTTTATTTTTGATTGTAGAATATTTAAAATTAATTGCTTAAGTGGCAAAATTAAATTACCTGAACATTAAAAATTACAATATAGTTCCGTTGTTGGTGAATTATCAGATTGTAAAAATTTTTGAATAGATTATAAACTAACTTTAAATTATACTTAAATATTAGTTAATTTAGCAGTTTCTAAAGGATTATAAAAAATGTGATTCTTGAAAATGCTTGAATTATTAAGTTAAATTGTAAATAGAGTTAATTGTGACTTTTAGTTATGCATATTTCGGTCTAAAATTATTTAATTAAGGATATTCCTTTTTATTAATATCATTAACTTAAAATAATAAAAATCAATAAAATGAATTGCCTTAACTTAATTTTTAAGAAGAAGCAAAAGAAGTGTATTTTAAATATATTTAAAACTTAAAATAAAAAAAATTAATTTTATAATTTTTTATTAATTATTACTATTCAATAAAATTTATTTAAAAAAAATATTTAACACATTGAAAAGGGTATTTATTTTAATTTTAAACTATTAGAATTTTATCATTTAAATATATAAGATAATTACTATAGTTTGCTTTTTAATGTATATGAATTTTTATTTTATTTTTTGTTTTATATTTTATTTTTATTTTTATTTTTAAATACTTTGAATGCTATAATTAAATGCTTATATGTAATTTTTTATTAGTTATTTAAATCAAATTTAATTAATTTATTAAGTAAGAAAAAACTATATTTTCATTAAGTATATTTATTTAATTAAAAATATAAGATTTGATAAAAAAATATGTATTAACAAAATATTTTTAATTTTTAAATATTAAGATAAATTTATATATATTAATTTAAAATTTTATTATATTTACATAAAGAAAAATCATTTTTTAATCTTATAATATTATTCTGCAAAATAAATAAAAGTTTATGTTTATAAAAACTTGTTTGTAAAAGCTTTCTCTTCTGCTTTTTTAAGAATTTTTTAAGATAGCTTTTTAAAATTAAGTTATTCTTTTTTTCCAGATTATTCCACCATTCCTTTAGCTGGCATACAATCAAAGATGTAATATTTATAGGTCATTTAAATAAGATCAAAAAGTTCCTATATAGCTTAAATTTAGAAGTTATTTTATTAATTGATATTAATAATTTTTCTATTTTCAGCAGATAAATTATTACTATTTTTGACTTAGCTTTAGATTTAGTTATTAATATTATTATTAGAAATAGGAAAGAACATTATTTTTTCTAATTCTAAGCTGACTTAGTTTTACGTGAAGAATTAAAATTAAGGCTAAAAATTATTGAAAATGCTAAAAGCTTTTTTAATTTCATAAAAATATTTTGAATAATTCATCGTACATCCCATTTAAATAAAAAAATTTCTTGTCTCTTCCGATAAGAAAAATCTATTATTATCCAAATCGATAAAATTATTAATATCATATCCTTTAGAAAAGACCATATTATTTTTCAAGAATTCGAATCCTTAATTAATTCCATAAATAAAAGGAATAGGCGAATCCAAATAATCTAGCATATTTTCATCCATATTAAAAACAGGATGAACATATTAGAAAGGTTTAATAAAAGAAATAAAAGTTATAATTGCAGCTGATAATTTATTTATGCTTTAAGAAAAGAAGACTATTTTTTACTCAATAAGTATAGATGAAAGGATGAACCAGAAATCTTCAAATGACATTTATTAAAGAATAATATTTGCACTCCACATAATGTCTAAATAATTCAAATAATTTAAATTTGGAATCATTGTAATGTTTTGAAAAAATTAATCATTTTTAAAATAAGAAAAAGTTAATGTTTAATTCATTTCAGGTTTTTATAGTTGAATTTTCGAAAGTAGTTATATCTATTCAAGTGAGCTTTGAGAAATTAAATTTTTTAAAGTATTTAAAAAAAACGTAAAATCTAAATGTTGAATTGAATTTGCACTTTTTTTTTTGTGTGCCAAATATTCACTACTTCTTTCTTTTTATATTTATTATAGTATTTATGTAATTGCTTTATTAAAAAATGAAAAGAAAGGATAATAAGTTAACAAACAGATTGAAAAATTAGTTTTAAAAATAAAGTTTTTATCTTTTTTATTCCAAAGGAAATCTTCCCAAACAAAATAAATACAATAGAGGAATTTATTAATATTACATTATTAAAGTATAGGGTTATTAAAATTCTTTTCTTCATAAGTTTCATTACTTTTAATAATAAAAACGAATTATTCAACATGTTTTTCTTCTAAATTTCTAAATATTATTTATTCAACTTCGTCACTATATTTTTATTAAACTCTTATTATTCTTTGATTTTTTGTTGCTTTTATTCCAAAAGGAAAACATTATCTTAATGCCATTTCTTGTTATGATTAATCTATTTTTTTTGAAGGAGAAAACAATAAAATCTAAGGATCTGCTATTTGTTCATTTAAATTATTTTAGTTTTCATCGAATATGCGCAAATTAGGACCTAATAATAGTATTTATTCGAATAATAAATCACCCATTTTCGATTCGAAAATCTATTTTTCAAATTACATTTATGTTATTAAATTCTATTATGGATAATTTAAACGTAGAGAACTTGGAAAAACGTTTAAATTGTTTACAGATATAGTTATTTATTCAGGATCAGTTTCTTTGTATGTTTATTCTTCTTGCTGTTAATTTTATAGAAGAAACGGTTGTGCAGATTA